TTTTACCTTTTTTGATGACACATTTCTTTATTCCCATTATTTTAAAAGCAGTTAACAATTAATGGTTTGTATTTTAGATTTTTTTTATTGAGCACTTTTCTTGCTTCTGTTGGAATTTACTAAATTTACTTCTCCCTATTTATACAATAGATTAAAATGCTCATTAACAATTCTCCCATATGCTAACTTATGCCATTTTATGCAGTCATGGAGGTAGCATGCGGGGAACATGGTGACAATGTTCTAAAGTTGGCTTGTTCTGTGCGACGTGGGGTTCTTGATGAAGAATTAGCATTAATAACTTCTTCCCGATATGATGGAATTCCATGCCAGCAACTACAAAAAAGTGGACATGTAACTTCAATCGAATTAGCTTCAACTGGCCAGACTGTCAGGACCTCAATTGCCCCTGATAACAACGAAATTTCCCATTCTACCGAAATTGGTGACTTTCCGCCCCGAATAAAGAGAGGCGGCTCACTAATGCCTTCTAATTTTGTGTTGAACCAAAATGCGGTCAATCTAGGGAATATTCTTGCTGTTGCAGAAACTGGGGAAGCAGGAATAAACTGTGATAAAATCGGAATTTGTATTGGTAGCGGAATTGCATCAACCGAGACATCGACAATCCATATTTCTGATCCTGAAACAAATTGCGGGCTATCAGAATCTTTACTTCAATCACCACTTGATCTGGCCACCTTTCAGAGGACTGATGAGAAACATCATTTTATGCAGGTATGGTGAAATCGAATATGCTGAATTGCTTTTAGGATATAATATTTCTTTTAATATACATCTTTAATTATTTAACTTATTATTAATTATCCCTTGTGCTAGGACGCGAGCTGTAGTGTTTTTTACTTGTTATTTTTTATTAAATCTATCAATACGATTATCACTAGGATGTCTTTCATTGTGTGTGTGTGTGTGTATGATAAAGAACTGAGTTGGTTTATCTTATCATAGACGACGCAGGATTACTCTTAGTCTCCTGTTTGATTTTTTATTAAGTTCATGCTGACAATCTTTGAGACAGCTTAATGAATTGGGCTTCCGTTTATCAAATATCAGACACTATGAAGTTCCATCAAGGCTATGAAAACGACCATGTCGGTGAAACTTCTTGGAGACTACCAAGTTCACGGTTCTACGCTGGAAATAATCATGGATACTCTGGCATAAAGAAAGGCTGTGTTTACCCAGATCTCAGATTTGGAAAACTAAGTCAACCCACTCATTTAAGAAAGCTTGATCAAATCTTGATGTCCCTCCTATCCGAATTTACCTCATAGCCCCAGAGCTTCCCTTCCTATCTTACTAGTTGACTGACTTCATTCGGTTACTGTCACAATATACGTTTTACTTCAGATGCTATTTCTCATTGTCTTCAACAAGCCTTTGATAGCACGTTTACTGTGGCATCTCCGAGCAGAACGTCTAGGCTATGATTCTCATGCGTTCAGACATTAAGCTTTGTCTCGATGGTCTATCTCTGCGATTCTACCTATGCTCTTTAAGTAGACTGTGAAGGTCTTTCTGGTCTTCTGCTGCATCTTAAATATTCCTTACCTGTCTCTTCCTTTCGATCCCTTTTCCCCTAGTTAACGATAGTTTCTTGCTGGTTTTGTCGTATCCTTGTTTGCTCCGAGTTTAATTAGGCAATAAGCAAAGTTATCACTAACTCCGTCCTCCAATCTCTTGTTCATTAAATTTGTTTTGTCAAGGATGTCAACGATCCAACTCTGGGAATTATCATAACTACAATAGCAGAGGATTTTGGACAAATTGCTTCCAACTAGGTCCGCCTGATAAACACAACCAAGTTGCGAATGCAAGATCAAATCACTTCCTTTCTGTATTTTTCTTACTATTTTTATTCCCTATATGCGTTCAATAAATACAATTATGTCGAACCACTATTTCCTTACCTAACTTATTCGTAATTTTTTCCTGTACCTTCGACCAATTTTCCTATGTGAGGTTGCACATGTATCCTATGTATGGAAAGCCTGTGTTATTTGAGATTTATAGAGGCGATACCTCTTTGGTTTCATGTAGAGCCAGTTTACAAATCTCTTTTATCCAACTTTTAATACTGATAAAAGGTACAATGACATATAGTAAAGGGTGAATTAATGTTAAATAACATGTGGATATTTATCTTTAACATTTATATATTTAACATCTAGTTCTTCTCACTAATAAAATGTTTGAACAAACTATCCATAAAAGATTAGACGAGACCAGCGAAGGATCGAAC